GAGAGAGAGAGAGAGAGAGAGAGAGAGAGAGAGAGAGAGAGAGAGAGAGAGAGAGAGATATTTATGAAAGTCCATCTATGATGATATTGTCTTAGACCAGGCTGGCCTCAAACTCAGAGATCTGCCTGCCTCTGCATCCCGTGTGCTGGGATTAAAGGTGTGTCTACCACCACTGCGCAGAGATTTTCTGTCTTATCAGAAGTCAGTGTTTTGGAACCTGGCCTTATTCTAGAACATAACCCATTTCAGTGAAGTGTTTTTCTAGAGTTGATCCAAGTGATCTTCAGGCTTTAGTTCTTCGTAGTTGTGTAAGAAAAAATGGGCATTCTGTGAGCGGCACCGCAGAGGAAGCATGACCCGCCTGGATGATCTATTGACATGCGCCCCACTGGGAAGAGATTGCATCTGTGTCCCGCTGACCCACAGCCCCCTCTTCTCCCACAGGTGGAGGCTGTGACCCTCCAGGATGTCCGCAGCAGAGTCCTCCAGAATGCTGTGCGGGTGTGGAGCAACATCCCAGGGTTGAAGAGGTATCTCTCAGGGAGGAGGGAGGGCCAAAGACTCAGACAGAGGAAACCGTGCATTCTGATAGAGCCAGGTCCCATGCTCCACCTAGCAACCTGTTATCCACCACAACCCTGGACATACTAGGGCTCAGGGTGCCCCTGCACACTGAGGGACTCTCCCTATGTTCACCCAATACCTCAGGACTGGACAAGAGTTTCCTCATCCTCAGGAGAAAGTCCAGCCTCCTGAAGCTCCTGCCCATCACACACTTGTGCTCATACCACACACTCATTCTTAAAGACTGATGCAACGCTCTAACACATTCACACACCCACACACAGACACCCACTTGCTCACAGATGCGTGTAGATCGAGCCAGCTTGAACTGTGTCTTCTGAGACTGCGAAGTCGTGTCTTTTCCTGCCCTATAGTGAGTTTCGGGAAACTTCCCACCCACCTCCTCCATCCCAGCATTCTCCTGGCTCCCAGTCACTATGCCAGTCAGGTACCACCCGCTTTCCCCACCTGGATACTTTCAGGACTTGGGTTGAAGTGGGGCTGAGGAGACAGACTTTCCCAGACATTCTTTTTGGATGTTTCTAAGTAAGGTATGGTCTCCTGCCTGGCATCCTTTTCTGATTGGTTCTGTGGGATAGGCAGGAGAGGGACAGAGAATGGGCTGAACAATTGGCAAAAGATGCCAGGCTCTACTCCTGTTAGCTGTGGGCCTATCAGGCCTGCCAGGTCTTCTATTTCCCAACAACAAGCATGCTTTAGAAGGAATCATGTATGGTCCAGCCAATCCTAGTACATGCGGCTGTCTGAGAGGTACCTGCCCCTCTTGAGCTGCCCCACCGTGGGGTCCTGCCAGACTTATACCATGGAGGGACAGTTTCTCTCCTCTGGGCCCCAGCCCCACCTCTTTTCTGATTTGAGGTACTTCCTTTTTGATTTAGAGCCCCCAAAGGAAGTTGAGTGCTGGGCGCACCTGCACCTAATACCTAGGGTCACTTGACTCCTGGAGGAAACAGGGTGGCTTCGCAGTGAGGTAAAAGACTCTTGGCCACTGAAGTAGGAATTAGCTTGCCAAGTTCACAGGCAGTTCATGGAATATCTGCACATGAAGATGGGAGAAAGTAGAGGACATGCCTTCTGACATGCCTTGGTCTGCCCCCCCAAAATGGAGATGGTCCTTAACTGCCCCAGGGCCTGGGCACACAGAAAGGTGACGCTAAGTGTCATATTTGGGGGTCTCCAGGATGAGGCTCACATACTTTAGGAGCCCCTGGGGCACGGACTTAGCACTTGTGTAAGCTGGGTTTGTCGTGTCAGGCCTCCCGGGAACAGTACGTGTGCACACTTGAAGGGTCTTACTGATCTTTACCCTTGCTCTGTGGGCATCCCTGCCAGGGAGGCTCACATCCACTTTTGGCAGCTTCTCGGCTCCCTCTGCACACCCAAAAGGGGATATGCTAGGCTGGATCAAAGATCAAAGGTCTCAGCTGGGGCATAATGGGAAGTGGGACACATGCTTTTTTTTTTTTTTTTCTTTTCCCTTTGGTTTTTCAAGATATGGTTTCTCTGTGTATCAGCCCTGTCTGTCTTGGAACTCACTCTGTAGACCAGGCTGCCCTTGAACTCACAGAAATCCACCTACCTCTGCCTCCCAAGTGCTGGGATAAAGGTATGCACCACCACCGCCTGGCTCATGCCTTTGTTTTTCAGTCCCAGCAGAAGCAGGTAGATTTCAGTGTTTCCAGGCCAGCCTGGTCTACATAGTAAGTTCCCTGCCAGCCAGGGCCACATAATGAGATACTGTCTTGGGGTGGGGGGTTGGTCTTTGGGAACCCTGCTTGTTCCTAATCTATCCAGAGGCAGGAGGCAAGGCCTGAGGGCACTTACCCTAGAGGCCACAGGCAACCTTATAGGGACCTCAAGTTCCCCGCCAGCCCAGTGTTGTATTTCTAACAGGTGACTCTTTCCTTGGTAGCAAACACTCGGCCCTAACACCTAAGGAACTGCAGTCCCTGGAAACTCAGACCAGAACCAGAGGCAAGATGGCTGACCAGAAAGTTGACCTCCTGGTGAAGACCTGCCTTCTCCCCCTGAGAGAGTATTTCAAGTATTTTTCTCAGAACCCACTTCCTCTTTACAAATGAATCATAATACAATGAAAGAAGAGGTTTTCCTAGAACCACAGCCGCCTTCCTCCTGTGGCCCTTTTCCCTCGGCAAGGTTTTCTTCCGTTTGCTTGCTTGCCTTTGGGGTTTTCCTGTTTGGTTCCCAAGATGCAATGCCTCCCATGCAGCTCACTGTGTGGGTGGGAGGCACCCACTTCTGGGGACAAGATCCTGATGGGATAGCCCGCTATGCATCTCCAGAAGTGTGTGTGTGTGTGTGTGTGTGTGTGTGTACCTGTTGTGAAGTCTTTCAAATATTAAAGGTTTTGGTAGAGTTTTGGTGGGGTGTGTGCGTGAGGCGTTTATTCTGTCACAGTGATGACAGTACATGTCTGACGTCCTGCCCTGGGCATATAGTGCCTTCATCACCTGATATTTGCCTTGATGGCTGAAATCGTTCATCCTCCGGTTGCTACACAAAGCAATCCAAACTACTGCCGAAGTTCACCCCTGGTGAGCAGACATGTGACTTCTGTGTTGTCCTGACACAGGGGGAGCTTGCAGAAGAGGGTTCCCAACTGCTCTTGGCAGTCGGTGTTCCACGGAAGCTGAATCCACTGGCAAGTGTGGACAGGCCAGTTTTGAAATGCCTGGTGAACTATCCTGATGAGGCGCAACCATTCCTACACACATCGGATGGAGAGACTCAGACTGCCTGAGTACCACATCTGAGGCTCAGGACCTACTGTGGCCCGTGCTGGCAGGCACTGTCAGTGTTCTCTGACAGGAAACTGGGCCACTGTGGGACCCTGAAACAGGAGAGGAGCTGTCTTGGGCCAGTAGATAGGACTTCTCAGTGTCTCGAGCCGTTATGGGGCCACTGAGGTGGTTCAGTTCTGTGGGTACAGATGCTTGTTCCCATGCTAATGGCATGCATTTGATTTTTCTCAGAACCCACCCTGTGAGTCATCTGTGGCACGTGTGTATGTTAGCACGTGTGTATGTTAGCACGTGTGTATGTTAGCACATGTTACAGGGATTCCTGTGTAGGCCAGGAGTCTACCCACCCAGGGGACTGATGAGGCAGCAGGAGCAAAAAGCATGAATCCGTGGTCACCACTGGCCAGATGATGTGGCAAGAGCTCAGAACAGAGTGGCAGCTGCTGCCACCCAAGGTTACATTACCATGGATCCCCATAAGTGACTGTTACTTTCTCTTTTTATCCTTTCTTTTAAAAAAGCAAGATGGAGCCGGGCTCAGGTGGTGACTCTCGCCTTTAATCCCAACACTTGGGAGGCAGAGGCAGGCCAGATCTCTGTGAGTTCAAGGCCAGCCTGGTCTACAAGAGCTAGTTCTAGGACAGGTTCCAAAGCTACAGAGAAACCCTGTCTCCAAAAACAAAAAAGAAAAAAAGCAAGATGGTTGTTGGTGGTGCACACACATTTAATCTCAGCACTCAGAAAGCAGAGGCAGAGGTGGGCAGATCTCTGTGAGCTTGAGGCCAGCCTGGTCTACCAAGCAAGTTACAGGACAGCCAGCCAGGACTGTTATACAGAGAAACCACGTGTCAAAAAAACAAAACAAAAAAGTTGGGTGGTGGCAGCACACACCTTTAATTCCAGTACTTGGGAGGCAGAGACAGGCAGATCTTTGAGTTTGAGGCCAGCCTTGGTCTACAGAATGAGTTTCAGGATGGTCAGAAGTACTAGGAGAAACCTTGTCTCAGAAACACTTGTTCATTTTGTGTGTAGGAGTAATGTATGCATGTACCACAGTGCTGGTCAGAAAATGGCGTGTGGGAGTCTGCTTCCTCCTTCTCCCACCACATAGGGTCCTAGGGATCAAATTCAGCTTGTCAGGCTTGGAAAACAAGCACCCTTATCTGCTGAGCAATCTCACTGGCTGTTTCTGGTTTGTTTTTCTGAGAAAGGGTCTTATATAACCCAGGCTAGCCTCAAACACTTACATAACCAACTCCCAAAGGTTAAGGCCTGCATCACTATGCCTAGCCAATGTCCACTTTCTATCAGTCAGCCTCCAAGAAGGGACCAGAGCCACCAGTGTGCATCTTTCTACTATCCACCTTCCACACGTGTGCACGCGTGTGCACACATACAAACACACACAGTAGCATGGGCCACATTGAGAGATTCCCCCACTACATATTCTAACCCTGCTCAAGATCCCTTGTGGTCAGGTGAACAGTGACCCTCACAACATACCCATCCAGTGACTCTCTGAGGCCTGTGAATGTCTGTCACCAAATGTGCCCCAAAGGACTTCACTGATGCAAGCTCTGCTGGGCCACCCAGTGTTCCTGCATGTGTCACAGACATCTTAGGGTAGAAGGAAGTGACTGTACCAATGGACATCTGTGCAGCCACAGAGGTTGGGACTGAAGGGAGCCTCTGCCAAAGGATACCTGAAGCCATCAGGAGCTGAAGCCAATGAGGGTCTCTCCTTACAAGGCAGGGCTATTTTTAATCTTTTAACTTACATGCATGAATACTTTACATGTGTGTCTGTGTACCATTAGTGGCCCTGGTGCCATAGAGACCAGAAGAGGGAGCTGAATGCTCTGGAACTGGAGCTATAGATGTTTGTGAGCCTCCATGTGGGTGCTGAGGATCGAACCTGGGTCCTCTGGAACAGCAACAAATACTCTTAACTGTTGGACCATCTCTCCAGCCAAAAGAGCTGTTGTTTTTAAGTGTGTGTGTGTATGTGTGTGTGTGTGTGTATGTGCATGTAACTGTGTATGTATGTGTATGTATGTGTGTGAGCATTTATGTATGTATATGCATGTGTGTATGTTTGTAGTTGTAGCTGCCCCAGGGAACGGACAGACCGGTCCTAAGAGTGGCTTCCTCCAGTCAGGAATCACAAATGTCTGTGACATTAAAGGCAGTCACTGTCCTTACCTCCAGGGATGTGTTCTTCCACGTGTAAGACCAAACTGCCCTGCTGGAAGACCCACTGTCTCTGAGTTCCCATCAGACATTTCAGGCTACACACTTTCTACATTTGTCCTGTCATACTTGGGAACCTTGGAGCCCCAAGTCTGCATGGATATAATGCCTATTGGCTCTCACTTCCGGCCACCAGCCTTCCCACATTCTGTTTGCCACGAACAGACACTGTTAAGGACAAAACCAAAACTATGCCCTGGCCACAGTCTCCCAGCTCTTGGGTTTGCCTTAAAATACTGTGTGTGAGGCTGGAGAGCTGGCTCAGAAGTTAAGAGCACTGGCTGTTCCTCCAGAGGTCCTCAGTTCAATTCCCAGCAACCACATGGTGGCTCACAACCATCTGTAATAGGGTCTGGTGCCCTCTTCTGGCCTGCAGGTTTACATGCAGTACAGAACACTACATGTAATACATAAATATTAAAAAAATAAAAAAAAACACTGTGTGAGAGCAGGACATGGTGGTGCATGCCTGTAATCCCAGCACAGGGGAGGCAGAGGCAGGAGGATTGAGAACTGGGGGCCAGCTTGGAGTGATCCCTTCTCAAAACTAAACCAAAGCAGAAGTCTGTATCTGCTTCCCATATAGTGTCAGGATGACCACTCGATATCTTACAGCGGAGGTTCTCAACCTTCCTAACACTCCGACCCTTTTATACAGTTCGTGTTGTGGTGACCCCTATTGTAGAATTATTTGCATTGCTACTTCATAATGTGATTTTACTACTGTTATGAACTGTAATGCAAATATCGGTGCTTTTGGATGGTCTTACATGATCCCTGTGAAAGGGCCGTTTGACTCCCAATGGGTTACCACCCACAGGCTGAGAACCTCTTCTTACCGACTTGCGTCATCACTGTTTCACTGTTGTGAGCAGCTCCCAGGAAGCAAAGGTGGGATTTGAGCCCAGCCATGCATTTGTCACTGCCTCCTGCCTTGGTGTCCCTTTCTCCCAGGGGTTCCTCTACCGCAGCTGCCCAGCTCTGCTTAGTGTCCACTTCTAGCCAAGGTTCAGTTCACTTCCTTGCTGTGCTAAGGTTTCCCTGCTTAGAGAGCGGCATTTGCCTTTCTGAGGTCCTAGATTGGGGGGGGGGCACTCATATTTGAAGAGCTCCAGTCCCTGCCACCTTGTTGGTCATGGCATGGTCCAACTTTGCCATAAAATCCCCTTCAACCACAGATTCCCACTGTCTGCCAGGAAGAACTTCTGGGTATAGGGCTGAGGGATGGTCATCCATGTAGACACAGGGCAAGGAATAACCTAAGTGTTACCTAATGGGGGTGCTGTTCAGGCCCCTGGGCATCAGTGATGGGCCCAGTGGCTGATGCCAAGTCAGGCCTATCCAATCAGAGAGAGTATTGAGATTAGAGACAGGGTTGTACTTCTGGACTGGAGTAGAACTGGGGAACCTCTGGCCAGGGCAGTTGGGACACAGGGCATGGTGTTACCCCTCAGCAATTCCCATCTTTTTCATCTGCCCAGTAAAGCCAGGGTGGCTCCCCAATACAGTCTTCTGCTGAGTCCTCCCTCAGCTGCTGCCAATCTAGAGGGAAGATGGGGAATAACTGAGGCCACCAACCCAGTGTGGTACCCAGCAAGACTCCAGGCTCACTCCTGGATTATCGCTGCCAGAGCCCAGTGGTCAAGTTCTAATACTCCTGTTTCTCCTAGCACAAAAAGGCAGCCCCTCCCTGCGGGAAAGCTGTAGTAAGTGGAGCGGTGGGCTGCGTTCCCACACGGATCTGCACGGCTAGCTTTACCCGAAATAACAACACACAAATTGTATTCATTTAAACACTGCCTGGCCCATTAGTTATAACCTCTTATTGGCTAGCTCTTACATATTGATCTAACCCATTTCTAATATCTGTATTGCCACTTGAGTGTGGCTTACCGGGACGAGTCTAACGGGCATCCATCTCGGAGAGGAGAGTCATGGCAACGGCCTGACTCGGCTTCTTTCTCCCAGCATTCTGTTCTGTTTACTCTGCCTACCTAATTTTCTGTCCTATTAAAGGGCCAAGGCAGTTTCTTTTTTTTTAATATTTATTTATTTATTAAGTATACTATATTCTGTCTGGGTGTATGTCTGCAGGCCAGAAGAGGGCACCAGACCTCATTACAGATGGTTGTGAGCCACCATGTGGTTGCTGGGAATTTAACTCAGGACCTTTGGAAGAGCAGGCAATGCTCTTAACCACTGAGCCATCTCTCCAGCCCCCAGCAGTTTCTTTATTTAACCAACGAAATCGGCACAAAACAGAAGATTCTCACATCAGAGAGCCTCCAAACCTCCCTCCCAGGCCCTGTCCCTCAGCAGCTCTGGTTACCACCTCCCTTTCGTCTCTTCTGTTCTCTTATGCTTGCCCTGGTCTGCCTGCTCCCTGATGTTGACTGCTAAGAGCCAAAGATTTCAGTCTCTTTTTTTTCTCTGGTTTTTCAAGACTGGGTTTCTTTCTGCAGCCCAGGCTGTTCTGGAACTCACTCTATAGACCAGGCTGGCTTCAAACTCAAGAGATCTGCCCGCCTCTGCCTCCCAAGAGCTGGGATTAAAGGTGTGTGCCACCACTGCCACCCCCCACTGCCCAGCTGTGATTTGTGGTGCTCACCTAGGACTCTGACAATGTTCAGAGCTCTCTTGACCATGTGACATCCTTCCGAGAGGCACAGGGTCAGGGGAGGCTTGTGCCCCGCCCTGATCAACATCTGGTGAGCTGCAACTGTAACAGCGCACACCCCTCCGGTCTAGGGAGGAACACCGCTGATGTGGGATGCCCTTCTGTACACTGCAAATGTATTGCTTTTATTGGCTGATGAATAAAGACACTTGGCCGATGGCAGGGCATAACATAGCTAGGTGGGATATCCAAGTAGAGGTGAAATCCAATACAGGTGAAGAAGGGTAGGGCCAGCAGAGAAGTCAGCGAATGACAGGAGAACAGATAATGCCATGAAGCGACGTGGCAATACATAGATTATTATACATGGGTTGATTTAAATGGAAGAGCTAGCCAGTAATAGCCTGAGCCATCAGACAAGGAATTATAATTAATATTGAGCCTACAAATGACTATTTTATAAGTGGCTGTAGGGACTGGAGGGGGCAGGAGAAAAACCTGTCCAGAGGGGCAGGAAGGGATAGGAAAACTTCCGGCTACACACACCTGCTAAGTAAGCAGTATGTGGATCTTTTGGGGGTGGGGTAAGGGTGGCCTGCCACAGTGTCCTCTCTATCAGTCTTGCCCAGGCTCTTCCATGGGTAAGGGGTCCCTGGGAGGGAACCTGCCCCCTCCTGGCCTCCACATTCTCAGCTGGCTGGCAGGTGGGGGGTGGGGGGGATGGAGAGAGGTAGGAATCCTTAGCCTCAGGCCTAGGGCTCAGGTTAGGCCCCTCCCAGATTGAGTGCCAAGGAACACAAGGTTGGAAACAGGATTGCCAAGTCTGGCTGGCTTTGGAGGAGAAAACTGAAATCCCAACCCAGGCTCTTCGACTTCTTCCTGTGCAAATGTGTGGTCTCACCAAACCCTGGAAGATTGGGAAATAGTTGGGTAATGGGAGGGCTGGACCAGCTTCCTCTCCTGCTGGCCCCGACTTCCCGCCCACCTGCCTGCCTTCTACTCATTAATGCCTAATCTTTAGGTTCTCTGATCATCTACGGTGCTTGGCCATCTCCAGGTCCGGGCTCTGAACCCAGGTTCATCCTGTGCAAGACAGGGCCCGACCCAACTCTAGAGGAAGGAGACCGCGGCTTCGTCCAGCACCATCTGGGCAACGCTGGGGGCCAGCGGCTGAGTGCTGTGTCTTCCCACTGGCACACCTCAGCCCTGGACCGATGGACGGCGCATAGGTGCCGGCTGTCCTTTTGTGCTCGACGGGATCTATAAATCACCCCACACCCTCGCACCTGTAACCCAGGCCCACGTCCCCGCCTGCTGACAAGCGGGCTCAGTCCCTGCCAGCAGTGGACTGGGCTGCTCACAGGAGTCGAGTGAGAACCTTCCGCTCCTGCCTCCTCCCGCCCCCGGTGCTGTGACGGGAGGGACGGGCCGGCCGAGGGCGGGGATCTGGGCTGTACCCAACCCGACCAGCGCGTGCGACGCGCAGCACTAGCGAGCGCAGTTACAGTCGATCCTGCCGGCGAAGTTTCCGCAGCCCCAGATCTCCGCGCCCCAAGTCCTGGCAGCCCCAGTTCTCCGTGGCCCCCGAGGACTTTGAAACTCCCGCAGCTGCAGCCCAACGCATCCCGAGGTCCTGCACCTCTAAGCGCCCACCATGCTGCTGAAGTGAGTCTGTTTGCGGTCGTGTCCCGGGAGTGGGATGGGTGTAGGGGAGCCGTGGGCTGGAGCCGGGGACCCACCCGGAATCGTGGCTGAGAGTGCCCGACAGTAACTCTGTCTGTGGCCCAACAGAGGCGCGGCCGTCTGTCCCCCACCGCTCACCTGGACCTGCCTGCATGAACGGCAGGGGGCGGCGCGGGGCCAACCCGAGGCACCGCTGTCCAGACCCTGGCGCGTGGGCGAGTGGCTCGTGGGAGGAGGAAGGGCAAAGGCCGAGGCTGAAGGTGAAGACGCACACCAGCCCCCAGCACAGGCTTACCCGTCGCTGCCTTTGTCCCTGCTGATTTCCCAGAAGGAAGGATGTGCGCTACCTCAAAGCCCGGTTCATACCCACTGCTTGAGGACAGGGCGCCCCCTCCGTATACTTGGCATCCTACAGATCGAGCGTGCCTAGGGGAAAGTGGGGGGGGGGTGGGGAGAAGAGGGAGGGAGGGTGTTTGCACTCTGGCTTTTCCCTAAACTATCCCCCCAGGCACTTGTTCAGTGGACACCCCGTCTCTCTTGGCTGCTTAGTGAGACCCCCTGTCCACAGATGTCCTACCTATAGAGTCTCCAGGGAGAGAGAAGGGGAGCACCTGCAGGCTATAGAGTCCCTGATGACCAGTGGCTGGCTTGAGTTTGTGTGTGGGATCCCTAGACCTGAGGCATGATGTCAATTTTCTGAGACTTTCAGGACTGCTGTTGAGGGGGAGTGAAGTTTCAGATGTCGAAGTTGCATGGACAGCTGAAAAACATGTTATGCCCCCGGCAGGGTCCTACCCCAAGCAGAAAGTCTGTGTGAATAGATGGTTTTGCGGAACAGGGCAAGTACTGACTAAAGTATCCCAGGTCTTTTTAGGGTGAGGTGCCTCCCCCTTCCCACCTCCTCATTCACCCACCCCATACCCACCACCTGGCAAGGCCTCCTGTGTGGCTTGGGAGAGGAGATGGCAAGGCTGAGGGGCACAGGACACCAAATCTTCTGTGAGTTCTGGGAGACACATTCCAGCTGTCAAGGGTCTGGAACGTGGAATCCCTCCAAGTCTGGTTTCAGATGGTTCTGTCTCTCACCCAAGCTTGCCTCCCTTGGGGCCGTCAGGTGTCTCCATGCCCTCAACACCTCAGATGCAGCTTCCTATAGTCTTGTGTTCCTCTTCAGGAAGGCTAGGTGACAGGGAAGGAGCACAGACCTCAGCAGAGATTCTCGGTGCCCCTTTACGTCACACAAATCAACTGTCTTTCAGAGTTTGGAGGCTCTCAGACCCTGGGGACCTGCCGTGGGTGGAGGAAAGGGAGGTGTCTGGTCCTGGTAGACTCTCTAATGTCTCTGAGGAACAGCAGCCAAGGGTCCGGCTACAGGGGACTTCATGTCTTTGACAGGTGTCACTATCTCCCGTCCTTGGGAACCAGCCAGCCTGTGTGGAAGAAGCACCGTCTTCTTTCAGGAGGGTTCTTTTCCAGTCTGGGTCTGCTCCTTCTGCTTCTCAGCAGCCTGCACGCTGGTAAGTTGGGATGCTTCATGTTGTGCAAAGCGTAGATGTAGGCAGGGCATTAGGGAAACCCTGGCCACAGCCCCTTTGACCTCTCCAGAGGTCCACTGGAGAGAGCTGGGTCCCCACCCCTAGGATGATATACAGGGTTGGAGGTCATAAAGGGAAGTGCTTTTCTGAGCTTTGTACTTTTCACTGCATCTCTTGCTTGGGGTCAGTAGACTGTCCCTCCTGGTCTCTTTGCATGGTGAGCCATAAAAGCTGCCTTTGGGAAGAACTGGGGGCCGGACACTGCCAAAGCTAGGGATGGACCAGCATTGGCAGGTGGACGCTTGTACCTCACACCTAAGTCGATACAAGGACTCTCACCCACCCTCCTCATGAACCTCACTGATCAATCCCTTTCTTGCCTTGGTGGGTTAGGGTAGGATTAGTGTTTGGATCTTGAGTAATAATCTGGGCTACTTTTGAATCTCTGCAGAGAGTGAAGTCAAAGAAATCCACGCGATGGTGGGCAGCGATGTGGAGTTCGGCTGCCTTTACCCCGACAGAGACCATTTCAGCTTGAATGATCGGCCGTATGTCTATTGGCAAATCGAAAACCCCAAAACTGTGGTGGCCTACTACCTGCCCAATGAGTCTACAGGGGTGCATGCGGATGACCGATACAAGAACAGGGCCCATCTGTCACTGGAACGCATGAAGCAGGGTGACTTCTCTCTGCACCTGCAGAATGTCACTCCCCAGGACAACCAGGAGTTCACATGCCTGATATTTAAGAATACCAAAAAAGTCTTAAATGAGACAGTCAGGCTGCACGTGGCAGGTAAGACCCTCCAAGCTGAGAATTGGCTTTACTCAGCCTGATGCTCTTGAACACAGTCCAGCCTGTCTCTGTGGTGGCCTGTTTACTTGTGCAGCTCTGATCTGAGCAGAGTCCATAACTCAAGACCCCCAGATTTCAGAGGACTGTTATTTGGCCATCTCTGTCTTTAACTGCCCAATTCAACTCAAAGTAGATACTAAAAACTGAGTTAGTAGTGGGTGGGGTGATGGCCCATTCAGTAGAGTGTTTACCATACAAACTTGAGGACCTTAGTTCAATCCCAGTACCCATATAAAGTCAGACTGAGTGGCATGTATTTGGTCCTAGCCTCAGGGAGGCAGAGATAGCTGAATCCTTGGCTCACTGGCTAACCAACCTAGCCTACTGAGCTTTGGGCCAGTAAGAGCTTCTTCCCCCTAAAAATACAACGTGGACAGCTCCTATGGAACACTAGATGCTGTACTCTGACTTCTATGTGCACTCCTACACACAGGCGCACAAAGCCCCTGCACAGCCCCAGCATGTTCTCACATACAAGCATACACAAGGAGTAAGGAGCACTGGAAATCTAAATGAGGTAGACTTTAAGGGAAACTTACTCCACAAGGATTTGGGGGCCCTTGGTTGGGAGGCAGTAGGTCTCTAGTGAGGAAAACTAGGCTCCCACACCAAACTCCTGATCCCTTATGGAGGTACTGTGACCAAAACATTTACTCTATTTAACAAAGAAACAGAGATGTCCCATAGTTTCAGGTTTTGGGCCTCCTAGAGGGAGAGGCTCCATGGCAGGGCAGTGCAGGAGATAGCAGGAACGTGTGGCAGAGGCTGTTCAACACACAGCAGACCAGGATGCAGAGGAAAGGGCAGGCTAGACAGCGACTCTTCTTCTCTTCCTTTAAATATTTATGGGTACAGGTGTTTTGTCTGCATGTATGTCTGGTGGCCACAGAGGGAATCAAATCTTTAGAGTTACAGATGGTTGTGAGCTAGGTGTTAGGAATCCTCCGGAAGAGTCCTCTGGAAGAGCAGTCAGTGCTCTGAACCGTCCCTCAAGTCAGTGTATGGTGTGAGTTAATCCAGTTAACCTTCTGGACCCCCTCATAGACGTGCCTAGAGGTTCATCTAAGAGCAGGTGGTTTCGGTCCAGTCAAATGGCGATGAAGATTTAGCCGTCTATGTCTATGGGGCAGTCAGCCCCGTGGGCAGTAGGAGCTTCTTTGGCTTTGCTCTGGTCAGGCATCCCCACTGGTCTGAGCCTTCTTCACCACTGCCTCCTTTCCTTGCAGCGAACTTCAGCACACCTGTCATCAGCACCTCTGTTCCCGTCACCCCAGACCAGGAGGGACTCACCCTCACCTGCATATCCAGGAATGGCTACCCCAAGCCCAACCTGTACTGGATCAACCGGACGGACAACAGCCTGATAGACGAGGCTCTGCAGAATAACACCGTCTCCTTGAATGAGTGGGGTCTATATGATGTCATCAGCACCTTGACGGTCCCATGGGTGGCTCATGTGAACGTTAGCTGTTCTATAGAGAATGTGGTTCTCCACCAGAACCTCACTAGCATCAGCCAGGCAGGTGAGGCCCAGGGTGGGGTACAGGGACTCAGCGGGCATCCAGGTCGTGGGATAGGAGAGGCCCAGTCATGAACAGACTCCTTACAGAGAGTGGCAATGAGGGGCTCTTGTTTTCTGCAGGCAGGGATAGAGAGTCCTTCTCGGGGTTGTCATAGTAACCTTTACTCACTGTCTAGGCAAATGGTTAATTAGCATGGCTATCACCCACAGCAGATGTTTCTTGTACTCTTTAGCCAGTGAGGCTGTGCATGACCTGGTGCACCTCAGGAGCCAGAGATCTTGACCAGGATGGAGGGCCATACCGGGGCACTCCCCCACATTCTCTGCCTTTGAACATGTGCCCCCCTCAGGGCATTCAGTTGGGCTTGGCTGCTGACTGCATCCCCTATAAACCACAAAGACATGAATGACCCTCCCCAGAGACCATAGCCATCCCAGTCCAGAACCAAGGCAGTCCCCAGATATCAGAAGAGTGATTCTGTTCATAGGAAGTGTTGCAATTAGGTGGTCCATGGAGGGAGAAGACAGGTGAGAAGAGGCCAGAAGCTGGGGTGCAGTGGGGTGAGGAGGACTACCTTCTTTGGGGTCAGTGGTGGTACTACATTGGCATCCTCAGTGCTGTTGAATTGACACGGAGTGGGTACCTATGTATTGTGCAAATGTCAAAGGAGAGACTGTCTTCTTTCATACCCGCCCTTGCAAGCCCAGGGATAAATATTTCATTTGTATTTTAATAAATAAAGCTTGCTTGAAGACCAGAGAGTAAAAACAGCCACACTGGTCAGCCTTACAGACCAGGCAGTGGTGACACACACCTTAATCCCAGTAGCCATAATGACTCACACCTTTAATCCAAGTAGCCACAATAGATTGCCATAGAAACCAGGCGGCAGTGGTGCTCACCTTTAATTATAAGACAGGAGGAGACCCCTCAGCAGTCTTACTCTGAGCTTTCCTGGAGGCAGGGTCATCATTTTAGACTGAGGTCGAGGTAAGAGCCAGTGGCTGGCTGCTTTGCTTTTCTGGTCTTCAGGATAAACCCCAATATCTGTCTCTGGTTTTTATTAATGGTGCTTCAGGGCCCCTCGCCTGAAAGAGCACATTTATACCAGCCCGGGATTTTAAAACACGTGCAGTGATGGCAGGGAAGCTCTTGAAAATCTTCTGCCCCTTTCTTCCCAGGGAAAAGGCCTCCTCATCAAGGTCCTTTAAGTCTTGAGAATTTTCCCATTTCCTTTCTTTTTCTTCTTCTTCTTCTCTCTTTTTTTTTTTTTTGGTGGGGGGCATGGATAAGAGGGATTTGAAACAGGGTTTCTCTGTGCAGCCCTGGCTATCCTAGAACTCTCTCTGTAGGCCAGGCTGGCCCCTGCCTCCCATTGCTGGGATTAAAGGTGTAAGCCACTACCACCTGACCTCATTTCCTTTCCTTAGACAGGGTCTCCCGTAGCCTAGGCTGGCCTCAAACTCTGTGTAGCCAAGGTGAACTTGTATTGATTCTCTGTCCCCACCTCTGGAGTGCTGGGGTGACAGGTGTGTTCTGCCACACCCAGTTTATGTGGTCCTGAGATGGCACCCAGGGTTTAATGTCTGCTAAGCAAGCACTGTACCCACTGAGACACATTCCCTTTCCTGCAGAAAAATCCACTGGAAACAATGACAGCTTCACAGGCAATCTACAGAAGCACCGCAGCCAGAATGCCACTTTCATCATCCTTGCCTTGCTCCTGGTGGCCGCGGGTGCCATTGTTGCCTGGGTTTGCAGAGCCAAGTGTCCTCACAGACGCTATCAAGGTTTGTTTGAGACTCGCTGACCATTTATTTACTCTGTTGCTGTGAAGGCTTTGGGTTTTACAGATTCCTACACTCTTTGAGAAGATTGCGTTTAAGATCCACTTTAAAAAAGCATAGGCATGCTTAGCAAGAGCCTGATGCCTCCCAGAGGAGGCTTAGACCCTTTGTTTCCAATAGAACCATACTAGCGACAAGAAGCCACTACTTCTCAGTTTGTGGCCAATACCAGCAATGTCTGAGCTGCTCCCCTGGCCCATGGCCCCCTACTGATCTGGACAGAGCCCCTGAGCTGGGGACACAAAGCACCGCTTAAAAATGTATATATACATATATACACACATATATATGTATATGTACACATATATATACACATATATGTATAAAATTTTATTTGTGTGTGTGTGTGTGTGTGTACTATCTATGTGCAGAAGCCCACAGAGGTCAGAAGAAGGCATGAATATAAAGTTATAGGTGGTTGTAATCCACCACGTGGGTGCTGGGAATTGAACCCAGGTCCTCTGCAAGAGCAGTAAGTGCTCTTAACCACTGAGCTCTTTCCAGCCCTGACATAAAGCGACTTAAATGTTTCTGTCCACTTGCTCCTTAAAATCCATCTTCCCTTAAAAGCAAGATTGTCTGGGGAGCCCCTATGGGAGTCCTTGCCTACCCAGAGTAGAACCCTTGGGGAGATGGTGGACAGAAGGGGTGATGCTACCCTCCCACAAAGCCTGAACCTCTCTGCTTTGACCCGCAGGTCCCTGGACTGTCGCACGGGAGCACACAGGTGAGTGTGATTTGGGGGCAGCAGGTTGACTAAGTTGTCATGGCCCTTCACACCTTCAGTTGGTGGTTTGAAATACCTGATGATTCCATAGATGGAGAAACCCTGTCCTGTGGTGGAAACTTCTAGACCCCGCACAGCAGATAGTCCTGGCAGAGGTCCCCAGGCCCCTCCTGCCTCTGCTCTGTGGGACCCATCGAATCTATGATTCTAGCAACTCAGTCTTTCTTGGTGGAGGTGTGCCTCCTATAGCCCTGAGAACAGTGGCAGGTGGACCTTCATAGTCCCCAGAGGTGTGGATTCATATCCCAGTATTAGAGAGACATCCACACACAGTGTTGGTGACCACCAGATAATGACCCTGGCTTTAAGGCCTTTGCCACCTCCAAAGTGACCGTACCTCCCTGAACTTCTTCCTCTTAGAGGTGGCATGGTGTGTGGTCCCGTCAGAGCTGGGATGGGGCCGGTTCGCTTACCTAGGTGAGCAGGCTTCGATGGCTGACACCTCCCACTCCAGGCTGGACAAGCTAGTGTCAGACCACTTTGGAACAAACTTAAAGGGCTCTGGGCCACTTGGTCCTCACCCAATCATGTGACTCCTCTAGCCAGCTGCTTCTAATTTTTATCCCCTTTCCCCCTGAGTCCTAGGAAGGATCATTTCATTGTCTCCAAAATTAAAACACTGAGGATGGATTGCTCAGTAGAAAGTGCTTGCCTGGTGGGCATGAGGAGGCGGGACAGCCTTCACCTTCCTCTTTCTTCTTCCTTCTAAGACCATGCCTGACAGGACTCTGCCCAGGATGTAAACTGGGCTTCTGTGAGATGCCACCGGTGGATGTTGGGCACGGCTTCAGAACTGAATCCCACGGGCCTGGTGGCAGAGGGGACAGTGGGCTATCCGCTTATGCTCTGTGATGGAGGACAGGAGTCCCCGGCCTTGAGAGGCACATAGGATTGATCCCAGAAACCGCGAGGGAGACCTTTCCAGTGGACAGCGGTGACATCAGAATACGGAGCCCACCCGCGAGTAGCTCCCATCCAACACAGAGAGGAAGCACTTGTGGGGAGGGCCTTCCCTAGCTGGAGCCCCAGAGCACGTGACTTATTCCCAAGTTCTTTGAAAAAGGGCATTTGAGCCACTCTGAAAGCACCTACAAAATCCACTGGAGACCATTTCCCTACAGAACTTTCAGGAGGGGAGAAAGTCTGACCTTATTTATTTTGGCCTATTTGGGCCTCCTAGAGGCTGTGTGGGCTTTTGTCTACAGAAAACCTGCTGTTGGTGAGAATGACTGGGCTCAGAGGTTTGGAGTCCAGGGCTTTGCAAAGTCAAAGGACAGACCTCAAAGCAAAACACGGCCCATGCGCCACCCACGGTGCTTCTTGCTCATAATCGAGGGCCCATGAGTCCGACTATCCTGTGGATATAGAAGCTTCCTGCAAACCTCTAGCTCTTCCAGACTGCCCACAAAGCTGGGGGAACACAGCTCCCCTCCCCCTGCCTCAGCAGCCCAGGAAGACCTATGAAGACCCCTGCTATTCTTGAAACCACCAGACCCACCACGTGGCCGCAGCCTCCAGGGTCTTTATGGTGTTTGACAGAATAGAACGAGCGACTCTGGTTCTAGATGGTTCTGTAAAGTTGGCTGCTGGGCCACCTAGGTGTGCACAAGCTCCAGGGACATGCAGTCGGGACATGGACGCCCCAGTGGGACACGGCATCTGACCCTACTTGTGAGCAAGCACCTTCCCCCTTTCCTACCCAGAGGCTTCAAAGTCCTGGACGGTAAGGGCCTGTGAGAGATCTCAGGCCTGGATGGAGCAGGAGTGAGAACCCTGGGGTCAGGCTCAAGGGGATCAATATTATGCGGATTTGTCTGCTTTGCTGCCCACAGACTCTCCTTCACATGGCCTTCTTTATGGAACGAGCATTGAGACCCACGTCTTCCTGCAAGCATTATGTATCTGTAAAATAGCAATTGTCATGATGGGTCCTGAGTTGGCAGCTACCGCAAGGAAGGACAAGGAGCTCCTGGGGTGCAGAGCACCCAAGGAGAGTAGTTTGGGAATGAGTGCCTCCCCAAGTCCCAGGACACAGCCATGCCCAGGGGTCTGGGTGGGGAGGCATGTGGCTGCCCAGCAGGGACATTCTCTCACCTACTTCCACTTTTCTGTCAGAAGGGAGTTCCGGGTCAGAAAGTGATCAGCCCTGCAGTCTAGGTGCCTCAGGCACCACAAACACCATTCCCACTGCTTCCGTAGACAGTGGGAACCCTCACCAACTGTGCCTAGACCTTTGGCTTCTCACTCTATGGTCACCATTGCTGGGTGATTCCAGCAGGCCTCACCTTCCCATGGACCCCTGGGAGAACCCCCTTCCCCACCCCAGCGCATCAGCATTTGGGAGACCTGCCCTGTAACCTCTGCCTCCTTCAGCCCAGAAGCCTGCTGGCTCCCTTTATCTGGGTCGTAGATGGGGCTGGATTTCAGTGTTCTCCTAGAATTTCCAGAACTCTGACAAGGGAATAAATGCAAGATGTGCCTTGATCCTTGTGTCTGGTGACTTGTGTCAGTGTGGTGAGTCTGGCTCCATCAGCCCAGCTGTTACATGTTCAGTCACCACGTCAGGTGGCTCTATCCCTCAGGGGACACGGGCAGTCACTCTTGGGGCTTGTTAAAACCCTGACGCAAAAGCCAGAGGCACCTTTCAGCATCCCATAAAACCCAGAAAGGGTCCCAAGAGGAAAAGACCTGACCTCAGCGGTCACCTTCTGATAGGTGGACAGGGTGGGTGGCCCCTAGCTTGAGCAACTCATCTCATCACCGTGTCCTGGAGATGGAGTCTGTCTATTGGTCTGTTCAATCCAGATGTTCCCAATAGAGACTGTGCTGGGATGTGGCTGCTGTGGTTCTGGAATGGTCACCCTCAGTAGAAGATGGCTCCTCTCTGCTGCTGCCTGGTCAACCCTGTGATGGGTCTGAGGATGCTTCCACTTGTACTCTTACAGGGTGTCCATCCCGGGTCCACCACCAGCTTGATCACTGTATCTCCCTCCAGCTAACGGGGAGGCAGCTGCTGGGGCAATCTGGGAATGATTTCATCCATCAAAGCCCTTTGTCCCACCCGCAGCTCAGAGGATGCCAGGAGCCCAAGGAGATGTAGACTTTGTGGAGGCTCTGGCTAAAGCTTCCTTGCCCACCCTGAGGTTTCTGAAGTTAGAAATCCCCAAACTCCCCACCCAGGACTAATCATTGGTAGGGAATCCCTCCAATCCCAAAGCAGAGAAGCCTTAATGCTGATCCCTTTCTAGGCAGTTCCCTCCCCAGCATCCCTGACATTACATAAGACATTCTCACAATGTCCTCCTAGGGACTAGTGGGTTCTTGGCTTAATAAGCACAGTCCAAGCCCAGAACGGAGCAGGCTCCTGACTTCACCGCCTCCTCTCTGCCTTTCCAGTAGGCCTTTAGTCACATGTGCTCACCACACACTGCTTGTCCCCACCTCCCCTTGACAAATGGTAGCTAAACAGTCCCTCCTCCCCCTCCCCTGATCTCCCTTTCCAGGCCCCTGACCTTGGAGCTCTTCCCAGAGCCTCCACCCATCCTCTGAGGGTGTTGTTTCAGTGTGCTGTGTCGTCAGAGGGCCTATTCCTTCTAAGCGAGCCACTGTGGGTAGGACACAGGCTGTGGGAATCCTTTTCTCAAAGACCTGGGATGCTGTCCCCCCCAACACCCCCTACAATGCTCTGAGGCAGCAGTTCAGTTGGGAAGCTGCAGGCTGGGATAAGGACACAAACCTTCACTCTTAGCAATGGGGTTGGATAATCACTTATGCACACATATCCTGGTGTTGTTCTATACCCAGCACCATTCCCAGCCTCTCTTTGTACTGCATAAGGCTACAACCCAGAGCTTTGTTATCCAGCAGCCCTGTGCTTCATCTGCCCTGTGATGCCCCCTTAGCCAGTCCCTAACACCAGGAACACACACTGGGTCACACTCGTTCAGGGTCTGTTCAGCAGCCCCAACTACAGATAAACACTGCAGACATGGTCAGGTCCCCACAGCCCTAATAAAGGTGTGGCATCTGTCCTCAGGGAGGATGGATATGGCCACCAAGATTCTGGGGGAAGCCATAGAGAGTGCAGACTGTGGGAGCTTTTGGTGACACCAAGGTGTGACACAAGACGCATGCAGTAGGGCAAGGAGGAGGGACAGGTTATGATCTCCCAGAACCCAGAGGGAAAATTTGCCAACTAAGACTTCAGACACAAACATGGAGACAGTCTACTATGCTGCTTTATAACCCAAAGGGGAAGTTAGTTTAAAAAGATCACTTTGTAACCATGCTGCTGATCCTGAGGGTTGCTGGGCGCAACAAAGGATTGAATTAAATGATTAGGAAATACAGCAGATGAACAGCGAGTAACAAAGTAACAGCTTTATCCCTTTGGGATGGGAGGAGCCCTAAGGCTGTGAATATGGAAATGAACTCTTCTTTCTGGTGTTTGGGTATTTTATCCCACCCCTAGGTCCTTCCCTTTCCGCTGTTGGTTCTGTCTCGATACCTACCCTGTACCTTCCTGCTGTTTCTCCTCCTGGGTAAAAGCAGCCACCACCTCGGGGAGCCCTCTTTTGCTTTCCCTGTCTATCTATATCCCTCTAACCTGCCTTCAGCCAACCCCTCAAGAAATAGACACCAACAACTGTGGGGGAATGGGGCAATGACCGCTTTAGCTGCTTCACGCTGACGGGACAGAGTTTAGCGCAATATCTGTCCAAGAAAGAGGGGACTCTTATGAGGCAGGCTCCTGGGGCCAGTCCAAGGGACTGCGGTCCCAGATCTTGAAGGGCATCCTGAGGTCCTGCACTGGGACCATTCAGAGTTTAGGCTGTGGGTGGTGGTGGCACATATCATTAATCCCAGCACTCGGGAGGCAGGTGAATCTCTGTTAGTTCTAGATCAGCCAACCTGGTCTACAGAGCGAGTTCCAGGACAGCTAGGACTGCTACGCAGAGAAACCCTTTCTAGAAAAACAAAAATCAAGCAAGCAAGCAAACAAACAAAACATAAAAGAAAAACAGGGTTTAGGCTGTGCCTTTTCCCTCCAGCATCATCCTTAAGTATGCGATTCAAGATTGGCATGGAGTGACTAGAATCACACTGTGAGGTTCCTCCCAGATGGCTTCTTAAAGAACTAGCTCATGTGTTTGTAACTTACTGGCGTTTTCTGTCTTTTTCATTCTTGAAAAACACCCAAGATGCTATGGGAGGCATCAGCAATCAACAAGCCTAGCTGTGATGATCTGCACGTGGGCACAGCTGGCTTCATGGCAGTTGTGTGCCTGGAACGGTGCTGTGTGACGTCACCTTACTATAAAGAATGTTGAATCCAGCCAGGTGATGGTGGCGCACGCCTTTAGTCCCAGAACTCAGGAGGCAGGCGGATCTCTGTGAGTTTGAGACCAGCCTGGTCTACAAGAGCTTATTCTGGGACAGGCTCCAAAGCTACAGAGAAACCCAGTCTTGAAAAACCGAAAAAAAAAAAAAATAAAAAGAATGTTGAATCCAAACTATACACGTAATAAATTAATACTACTTGTAAACATACTGTTCAATGACGGGGTGCAGTAAGTTCCCACATACACCTTTCAGAAAACACAGAACATAGAGTAAGCCATCATAACTGTGCTTTTGGTTCTAAATGGATGTAGAACACTCTGGTGCTAGGATCTTTTCCCCATTGCTCGCTTTTCTTTAGATCACAAGATAAGTAACAGCCACAATGCCCTTACTCTGGCCATTTCAGAATGAGGGGCCAGCCTAACTCGGGAAGAAGGCTTTGGAGGCCATTTGGAGACAAACATGCTTGGGTTTGAATGGGGATGGCCAAATCCCATCTCCAGAAACAGCCGGTCAGTGAGCTTAAACAGCACAGTTTTCACAAAAGGCATTTGTTCAACTGTAAACCTGAACCCACTGGACAGGAACTTTGTTGCTTAGATCAGTGACTACTGGCTGGACCCAAGGCACCAGGCAGGCCTCCTTATAAACAGTATATATTTGTTCAGGGGAGCCTTATCATCAATTGGATCATGCCTTGGAAACAGAGATTGACAAGTTTTTGTTGTTTGTGTGTTTGTTTGTGTGTGAGAGGTTCAAGACAGGGTTTCTTTGTGTAATAGCCCTGGCTGTCCTGAAACTCTCTTTGTAGACCAGGCTGGCCTCAAACTCACAGAGATTCCCCCTGGCTCTGCCTCCGGAGTGCTGGAATTAAAGGTGTGTGCTACCATGCCCAGAGACAAGTTTTTCTTTAGTCTTTTTAAGTTCGTGGATAAGTGGCAGCGAGCGCCCATGATCGAGGAAGGTGGAGCTGACCCTCTCTAGCTAGACTTGGGGTGACCTGTAGCCACAATCAAGTTTGTGTTTGCCTGCAAATGGAGGTAGACAGCCTGAACACTTAACACCCTCTGTGTTTCTTTGGACTTCTCTAACAAGAAGGCTCCATGAATGTAGTAGGGGGTCAGAATTCTCCCACCATCACCCCCAAAGAAAATATCCCAGAGGATACTGAAGCCAAGCTTCCTGGCAAAAGAAAATCAGGGTTGTAACTGGAGGTTTCTCTCCCACCTGTCAGTTTCCAAAAAACCACTCTGAGGTTTAATATTAATTACAAACTGCTCAACCAATGGCTCAGGATTTTTACTGGTTGACTCTACATATAAATTAACCCATCTCTAATAATCTTTGTATCGCCATTTGCCCCATGGTTTACCGGTATGCTCTGGCACATACTCCTTGCTGGTGTCTCTTGGACTCCACCCGTTTTCTCCCTGTATCTCTGGATTTCCTGCCTGGCTCTAATCTGCCTGGCTATTGGTCAAATCAGATTCTTATTAACCAATGGCAATAAAACATATTCATAGCATACAGAAGGGCATCCCACATCACAGGGTTTTGTTTTTGCTTTGTTTTATTTTACGTGCATTAGTGTTATTACCATTGGTTTTGGGTCCCCAGGAATTGGGGTTACAGACAGTCGTGAGCTGCCGTGTGGGTGTTGGGAGTTGAACCCAGGTCTTCTGGAAGAGCAGTCAGTGCTTTTGACCACTGAGCCATCTCTCCAGCCCAAAAATCAGCGTGGTTTTTTTTATTGTTATTTAAATGTCTAAAAGTCGAATTCTGTCCAGGGTTTGAGAAAGCAACCGAGTAGTCACTTCAGAGGGATCTTGGAACCAGTTTGTCCCATCTGCAGTGAGTTTTGGGTCAGGGTTACCCTTCTCTACCCACAATTCCCTAGTCCATCTGGGTCATCTAGTGAAGTCTGCAGAGGGAAGAGGCCAGGTTAAGCTGTGGGGTTTTTGCACTTGTCCATGGCTCAGTGCCCTGCCATCGCTGTTTCTTTGGTCTTTCTTCAGGCAGTGTTGCCCTTTTATTCCTTCCTACAGACACTTGCTTTCATATAAGTTGTCCTATTTACCAATAAAGACCTGGGAGTCAGATATTGGGGTGTAAACCTGCTAGATCAGAGAA